AGAATTGAGGTCATGATAGTGGGGGAAAGGAAGCACCAAAGAACTAGAGGAAAGTTGTGTGTTTCATCGGTGCTATACTGAGCCCTGACTGGCTCATCTCTTCCCTGTGACCTCTCTGTGAGGGGATATCCAGTTGTCTACAGATGGACATTGGGTCTCCACCCCATGTCCCCCACTCCCCCATTCACATTGGGTATGATTTTTGTTCTGGGTCTTAGATGCCTGATACCTGATCCCATTGACACCTCATGATTACGCAGGCTGGCGTCCTATTTCTTTTTTTTTCCTCCCATTTCATTTTTTAACATAGTGTTGAATTTATTCTTTCTTTTTTTTTTTTGTATAACTTTTATTGGGAGCTAATCCAGATATCATATCTTTCCATAGTTCAAGCGCAGCAAGTAGTATTGTACAATTGCTACAAAAATCAGTTTCAAAATATTCTCTATCTTTTTTTTTTAAATCATTTTTTAAGATCATTTTATTAGGGGCTCATACAATTCTTATCATAATACATACATACACATTTGTAAAGCACATTTGTACATTCATTGCCCTTCATAATTTTCAAAACATTTGCTCTCCACCTAAGCCCCTGGGAATTTATTCTTTAATATTTGGCATTTTTGCTTTGAATTCATGTATGAGATTGAGCAATATTTATGTGTGTGTGCATGTTCTCTTGGTTATAAGAATATTCTTAATTTTATAAAAAGAATTTGTAAGTTTTCCACTTTTGATTCTGATACGTAGTAATTTATATAGCACTTGAGATTATCTTTATTTTTGGTGGTAGCTTGGTAGTCTCCTGTTCACCATCCAGCCTGGGTGCTTGTTTTTATGGGATTGTACGTTGATAATTTTCTCTTTCTTTTAAGTAGATGAGCCTGTTCAAGCATTCTGTTTTTACTCAGGTCATGGTTGTAAATTGTTTGAGGGTAAGTTCTGCGCTACCCTATAGGGTTGCTATGAGTTGGAATCAACCGATGGCAGTAAGGGCTTTTTTAAAGTAAAAATTGATTGTAGTTTATACATACATGGGTTTATTTTAAGTGTAGCGTGTTTAAATATGTCTCTCTGATCAGTTGGTGGCTGCAGATAAGCATTCTCAATCATATGCTTGTCTTATTAGTTTTGCTAGGAATACTTAAAAAATAGTCCAATTAAACAGTGGCTTTTGGGGGGATCTTCTAGGCTAGTTCAATTCAAGGCGAGAGCCATCCACTCAGAAGGTTTGAAGTACCAAAGGGGTAGTAATCGTGGTAGATTTTCTGGAAGGACCTGGCGACATTCATACTTCATATTTTGATATTGTTGTTTAATAAAGATTTCTAGTAATATTTTCTTATCCATATATTCTCTTAGAGAGTTATCAGCTTTAATTAGGCTTTCACGTTTTATTTGCATAATTGTACAAAGTAGACTTCCAGTTTTTAAATTTTCTGTTTTGGTGCTTTCTGTTTTTCATGTATCTTGTCAAACATTCGTGTTTTCCCTTTTTCATTTTTTCCTCTTAATTAGATTAAAAACCCAGCTTATTGTTATTGAGTCAACTATGACTCAACAACCGAGTAGAATAGCCCCTTTGGTTTTTCGAGGCTATAAGTCTTTAGGGGAGCAGAGCTCTTCATTTTCCTCCCAAAGGTGGTGGATTTGAATGCCAGCTTTGTGATGAGCAGACACACCATAGCCCCACCCAGTCATTTGGTGAGAGTTACAGAGAATGAATAGAAGAGCCATATTATGAGATTTCACTTCACCACAGGCTTGTATATCTATAATGTTATTTTTTTTGTTTTGTTTTGTTTTTTTAAAAACATTTTATTAGGGGCTCAAACAACTGTTATCGCAATCCATACACACATCAATTGTGTAAAGCGCATTTGTACATCATTCTCAAAACATTTTCTCTCCACTTAAACCCCCGACATTA